AAACTTTTTTTTTTAATGGCTTACATGACCTGAAAAACTTTGAAATCCCTGGAATGTAAAGGTAAAAGTAAAGGTTCCCCTCGCACATGTGTGCTAGTCATTCCTGACTCTAGGGGGCAGTGCTCATCTCTGTTTCAAAGCCGAAGAGTGTCTGAAGACATCTCCGTGGTCATGTGGCCAGCATGACTAAATGCCAAAGGTGCACGGAACGCTGTTACCTTCCCACCAAAGATGGCCCCTATTTTTCTACTTGCATTTTTTACGTGCTTTCAAACTGCTAGGTTGGCAGAAGCTGGGACAAGTAAGCTCACAGCACTAAGGATTCGAACTGCTGAACTGCCAACCTTTGATCGACAAGCTCAGCCACTGAGCCACCGCGTCCCTTTTTATTCTCCTTGTACAAGTTCTCTAATAGATAAATTTGCAGAGATTATAAAATTCACTGGGTAGATACATCAATATCAGGGAGCTGATCATACTACTCAACTCCTTGAATGTTGTTATAAAGGGCAGGAAAGCTAACAATGCAACAGATGCTGCAAAGTACTAGAATAGGGGTAGGCAACTATGGTCCCTTTATGACCTGTCCACTTGACAAGCTCAGTATATTTAACCCCTCAGCTATCACACCCCATTTCTTTAATAATATCAGTATTCAAAACATTCTTTTAATACCAATATAATATGGTTTTTTTCTTAATCAGTATTTTTAACAGTCTGGCCACTGCTGTGAGATTAAAATAAAGATTAAATCAAACTTGACTTTTGCTGAACTCATCTATGCAAGTTTGAGGTGGGTGTTGGGGGGATGAACAAATTGCATTTATCTCCTTTTGAGGTATTACTTTTACTTCTTTGTCTACATTATAGCCTTTGTATTCCATAGTCATCTTCTATTTGAGCATTAGTCAGGTCCAATACTGCTTCATTAGCTAATTAGCTTTTTAAAATCAGTCAGTTCAGGTAGGTGATGACATATGGCTGGGCAGATTTAAAATAGCTATATAGTAAACCATTAGAACTCTTCTGAACAAGTTAATACTTTGTGCTTCTGTTAATTGTTCAAAGCATCTTTTTAAGGGAATTCACATTAACTTTTTTTTTTTTTAATTTGATTATATGCCGCCCTTCTCCGGAGACTCAGGGCGGCTTACAATGTGTTAAGCAATAACCTTCATACTTTTGTATATTTATACAAAGTCAGCTTATTGCCCCCACAACTGGGTCCTCAATTTACCCACCTTAGAAAGGATGGAAGGCTGAGTCGACCTTGAGCCTGGTGAGAATTGAACTCGCAGTAATTCTCACCAGGCTCAACTTTGCACTCTTTGGTAGGCTAGTATTGTTTACATCTCTTTGTTTCTGGTTTGAAGGGGGGATAGGCTGGGAGTGAGGTTGAGATAAGGAGTTGAATAATTAGGAAACTTGATTCATGGAAATTTTCTTTGCAGAGAAAGGTTTCTTTATGGGACTAAAATTATGCATTTCCTTTTGAATCTGTTGCGCTCTATATCCATGATGGCAAACCTATGGCACATGTGCCAGAGGTGGCACGCAGCGCCTTCTCTGATGGCATGCAAGCCATCACCACAGTTTAGCGCCACTGCGGGTCTCTGCCACGCATGTCCGGGGGGCGGGGCGTATGCACGGGGGCCATTCACATATTGCAAAGTGCACATACGCTTTGGGCACTTGGTCCAGAAAAGGTTAGCCATCACTGCTCCATATGGACCAAGTATGCACCATACGGTACTCTTCTGTAGTTGCACATTGTGTGAAGTGTTAGTGCTTAAGGAAGAAGGTTTTAAATAAATTGTCTGATTGAGAGGAATGAAGATTGCACATTGAAGATCTCCTATAAATATGAATAGATGATCTTGTCACATTTGATTTATTCCAGCGTCTCAATTTTCAAATCTTAATTCTAGCCCTTTTCCATATTTGTTTGTGATTTATATGAAAACTCTACATGAAAACACATATGCATATTTTTCTAATATACGTATTTTTCTATAGTTCTAATATGAATACTCCCTAATAGCCTTCCTGCATTTTAATGCACGTCTTTTACAACTCATTCTTTATGGTCCTGTACCTTTTGTTGTAGTGCATTAGCAGAAAGGTGTTACAAATAACTTTAAAAAAAATCTGTAATTTCTATGCAAATGTTCTTTGAACAGAGGCAGTCCTTGACTTACAATCATTCATTTAGCGCTCATTCGAAGTTACAATGGCACTGAGAAAAATGACATGAACATTTTTCACACAACCATTGCAGCATTCCATAGTCATGTGATCAAAATTTGGATGTTTGACAACTGGCATATATTTATGATAACTGCAGTGCCCCAGGGTCATGTGAACACTTTTTGCAATCTTCTGAAAAAGTTAATGGGAAAGCCAGATTCACTTAACAACCTTTATTTAACAATTGCAATGATTCATTTAACAACTGTGGGAAGAAAAGTTGTAAAATAGAATAAAACTCACTTAACAGTTTTGTTTAGCAATGGAAATTTTGGGTTTAATTGTTGTATGCTGAGGACTACTTATATTCAGTTTGTTGTATATTATATATATGTTGTATCTTGTATATCTTGTATATTATTCATATTTTTCAAAGGATCGCTACAGACATTCTAAGTCATCCAGGTCATGATTGTCCCAAAGTGCTTTTCCAAAAGGCAACTGGACTTTGTTTCTCCTTGAAGATGTTTCGCTTCTCATCCAAGAAGCTTCTTCAGTTCTCAGAATTGAAGAAGCTTCTTGGATGAGAAGCGAAACATCTTCAAGGAAAAACAAAGTCCAGTTGCCTTTTGGAAAAGCACTTTGGGATTTTTCAAAGAATTCCGGGAAAACTTGGAAAACTTGCCCAAACTTAGACAAAATTACCTCTATGGAAAAGGATAATGATTTCAATAGTTTTATGCAAGCTCAGCTTAACAGATATTCTGCCCATTACCGTTCAAGCAAGCTTAGCTAAGCAAGCATAGGAAATGTAACAAATTTGTCCTAAGGGGAGAGAAAAAAATCCAAAAGAAATGAGCTATACTGGGGGAGAGGGGGAATCAATATCCTCCTCCTCTTAAGATGTAAAGCTAGTAATCAAAAGGGAAAGCTCTTTATCAGCAAGCTCATATTTCACCTGTCAAAGAAAAACGGAGAAGGGTTTAATTAAATGGCATGGTATCTTAAGAGACAATATATTTCCACATGTTGGGGCCTTATCTTTCGTCGAACCAAATAGAAAGACACATTTTGGAAAAGGATTGTTTATGAGTTGCAATCCATCAAGTGATGCTATAGGCATCATACTCAAAAGTCCCTGTTTACAACAGGTTGTCAAAAGAAGTCAACGCCTCAAAGATGTGTTCTGAAAACCTGACACAACCTATTGAGGAGCAATTCTTTATAGCCATCTTGCAACCAGCAAAAAGGCCTGCTGTGGAAAGTGAGCTTGCTTGTGTTATCTAATCCACCTGGAGATATACTGTGTGATGATGGCCTGATATAATAGAATAACAGAGATGGACGGGATCTTGGAGATCTTCTAGTTCAAACTCCTGCTCAGGCAGGAGACCCTATACCAGTGATGGCTAACCTTTTCCAGACTGAGTGCCCAAAGTGCATGCGTGCCCAAACTCCCAAAGTGCAATGCGTGTGCAGCCCCATGCATGCGCCCTACCCCCACGCATGTGCATGTGCCCCCTGCATGGCCCCTGCATGTGCGCATGTACCCCCTGCATGTAACTCCCATGCATGCATGGCAGAGACTCGACCACCAGCTGGCTGGTGGAAGGTGCGTGCGGATGCGCAGCGGAACTGAACTGGGACGATGGCTCGCGTGCCCATAGAGAGGGCCATCATGGCCCTTTATACCATTATACCATTTCAGACAGATGGTGGTCCAGTCTTTTGTTAAAAACCTCCAGTGATGGAGTGCCCACAACTTCGGAAGGCAAGCCGTTCCACTGGTTAATTGTCCTCACTGTTAGGAAGCTTCTCCTTAGTTCTAGGTTGGTTCTCTCCTTGACTAGTTTCCATCCATTGTTTTTTGTTCTGACCTCAGGTACTTTGGAGAATAGTACCCCTCTCCTTCTTTGGACAGCCCCTTAGATATAGGGGTGGACAACTGAATAGCTTTTTTCTGGTTTCCATTCCCTACTGCTCTGGCCCCAAGACCTATGTAGCAGTGGTGAAATCCAATTTTTTTTACTACCGGTTCTGTGGGCATAGTTTGGTGGGCATGGTGTGGCTTGGTGGGCGTGGCAAGGGAAGGATACTGCAAAATCTCCATTCCCACCCCACTCTGGGGCCAGCCAGGGGTGGTATTTGCTGGTTCTCTGAACTACTCAAAATTTCCACTACCGGTTCTCCAGAACCTGTCAGAACCTGCTGGATTTCACCCCTGCTATGTAGGCAACATAACAGTGTTATGAAAGATATATATCGGAATGGAGAAGATAGACTGATTACATACAGAAGAAGTATCCGAATAAGAAGATTCATATAGCATATGAATGAAGTAACTTTAAGTAGTTTATGTTTGTTTTTTGAATTATAAGGAGTTAAGCATCTAGGGAGAATATGAATTGTAACAATTTGTTAGCATATTCTAGCTTTTGATTTGTGAATGCTATACCCTGTGCTTGTTCTGGGAAGTCTAGGGAGGGGGGTGGGGGAGGAGGGAAAGGGGGGTGGGAAAGGGGAGGGAGGGGTTGAGCGGGGAAGGGTGGGGGGATGAAAATGTTTGTATTTTCTACAAAACTTTTTAATAAAAAAAAACAGTGTTCAGTAATACCTCTTTTTTTTTTTTGGGAGTTCATGGTTAAAATAAAATAGATATCTTAAGCCTATTAAGCCCTTTAGTTTATTTTATTTATATTGACGTTTACATTCGGTGATTTGCTACTAAATTTCATAGGTTCAATCTTCAATAATTCCATGGGCCTTAAAAAAAAGAATGGTATATATGTGGACCAGGGGTGGGTTCTACTTACCTTTATTCCCGGTTTGCATTCTGCCCGCGCGCGATGCGCAGATCGCCTATGACGACATCCGGGTCAGTGGGCGGAGCCTTCCGCAGGTTTTACACACCGGTTCTTGCGAACCGGTCCAAACCGGGGGCAACCCACCACTGATGTGGACATAGGCCTCACCCTGGGGGAAAAATGGATATAAAGAAATTGTTTGTGTAGAACATACTTAGCAATTAAAAATAAACCACTGAAGATCCTATTGAGGGCACACCAGTTAAAAATTGTAATGGAAACAGATATTCCAAAGTTCAAAGATGGCAGTTTCATCATTCTGAAATATTAATAAACAACTTTTGTTTTGATCTGGAGATGCAAAATCTGCACCAAAGCTTAAAATGTTACATGTTCAATATTAAATTGGAAAACTAAAAAATCTTTTTCAAGAATGTTTGAAAACTGCTTGCTAATAACCCCAAATACCAACATCCATGCTTTTGTTCAACAACTGTACAATATATGTACAATTCTTGTTTATTGCAAGGATATCTTTTTCAATAATGTTTGAATTATAGAGGGAAAACAGAAACCTTGAAGCCTCTGATTTCCTCGCCCATTTTCAGTGTAGTCATAACAATTCCATTATCATCTTCTTTTAATGACCTCATAATCCCTTGTGGGGTGGAATCTGGGCAACTGAATGGAGTTGAGTGTTTACTGGCCGGATGCCCTTACTGTCACCAATGCGGAGTTATATTCAGCAGATATATTCTCAACGTGCCCAGAGAGAGAAATATCTGCCTCTAACTAAGATTGAACTCACTGATTGTGAGGCAAGAGCTCTACCTCCAGGCCATCGCACCACTCTCATAACATATAATATGTATGTTATATGTACAATATACATATATAATATGTATATTGATGTTCATCCATCATTTTCAAAGAGGACCTTGACATCTAACGGGTTGTGGGCTGTCCACACTGTGTCTGCAGGTAGCTGGTAAGGCTATAGGGGCATGGAATGTTCTGCCACATGTCGGGCAGACATGTGCGGGTACCACTATTGCAGCATTTGCATCTCTGGCTTTGCGGAGTGCTCACTTCTCTTGTGCTATGGTTGTCCTTCTGTCTTCAAATGTCTGGCAGCCTTAGTGAATCAATGTGCGCCATGATGATCGATCTTGTGCCAGGGTTTCCCAGGAGGTGGTGTCAATATCCAGGGACTTGAGAGAGGCTTTCAGTATCTTTGTATCACTTCCTTTGCCCCCCATGCAAAGGTCTCTTTCCTTAAGACAGTTCACCATAGAGGAGCTGTTTGGGGATGCGGTGGTCTGACATCCTTGCAACATGGCCTGCCCAGCCATAATGTATATGTATATTATATATTTGAAAAAGAGCAACTGTGAGGATCAGGATCGGGTAAAGAGTTCCTCTGGAATTTATGGATTTCAAATAACCGCAACTGGTTAAAATAGGGGTGCCCAACTCCTGATCCATGGACCAACACTGGGCCACAGCATGCCAGAAACTGGACCGTACAAACAAGTGAAATTCCATTCATGGGATGTACAGTAGGCAGCATGCAAAATCGCGCCCCCTCCAATCTATGGAAAAACCTTTTCCCATTGGAACTGGTCCCTGATACCCAGAAGGTTGGGGGCCACTGGTTTAAAACAAGAATCAACTGTTATGGCAAACATGTCTTGTTTGTTTCTCAAATAGTCTCATTTCACTAACAGTAGAGTAGAGTAGAGTAGAGTAGAGTAGAGTAGAGTAGAGTAGAGGACTTGAGAGAGGCTTTCAGTATCTTTGTATCACTTCCTTTGCCCCCCATGCAAAGGTCTCTTTCCTTAAGACAGTTCACCATAGAGGAGCTGTTTGGGGATGCGGTGGTCTGACATCCTTGCAACATGGCCTGCCCAGCCATAATGTATATGTATATTATATATTTGAAAAAGAGCAACTGTGAGGATCAGGATCGGGTAAAGAGTTCCTCTGGAATTTATGGATTTCAAATAACCGCAACTGGTTAAAATAGGGGTGCCCAACTCCTGATCCATGGACCAACACTGGGCCACAGCATGCCAGAAACTGGACCGTACAAACAAGTGAAATTCCATTCATGGGATGTACAGTAGGCAGCATGCAAAATCGCGCCCCCTCCAATCTATGGAAAAACCTTTTCCCATTGGAACCGGTCCCTGATACCCAGAAGGTTGGGGGCCACTGGTTTAAAACAAGAATCAACTGTTATGGCAAACATGTCTTGTTTGTTTCTCAAATAGTCTTATTTCACTAAAGTAGAGTAGAGTAGAGTAGAGTAGAGTAGAGTAGAGTAGAGTAGAGTAGAGTAGAGTAGAGTAGAACAGAACAGAACAGAACAGAACAGAACAGAACAGAATAGAATAGAATAGAATTATCATGTCATCCCTACTCCTTCTTTTCATTAAACTAGATATACCCAATTCCAGCAACCATTCTTTATAACCTTAGTGTCAATAGCTAGAGAGACTTCAAATTGATAGATGGATTAAGGAAAGAAAAAAAATAGAATGTCACAACAATAAATTATGTTTAAACACTCAAGCAAAGAAATTCAAAAAGGATATGAACATATCCTGAAAAATAAGTTGAAAAACAGAAGATGCTTCTACTATAATTATATAATATTAATATATACTTTTGCTCATAACATCTCAATATCTTATGGTAGGAATTAAAGGTATATGTAGTAATTATAAACAAATAATGAATGCAGAATGTCAATGAAATTTAAAACTCTCCCAAGCACTGAGGACTTCTTGCTCCAGTCCACATAATCCAGTGGCTATCAAGGATGTGAATGCAGAACTACCTTTTCAACTGTTGTTTCCATTAATTAATAAGCTGAATATTTCCATATAACGATACTGCTAGGAAATTTGTGGAAACCAGTCACCCTATCAAGTGCATTGAAAAATACAGCTTGAATGCAAATCAAAAGCAATTATCCAACTTTTGATTATTATTTTTTTTAAAAAAAACACTTCAGTGAGTACAGATGGCATTTCTTACACAGATGACAAGTTTTTCCAGTAGTTATCTTTGAAGATTCTCAAGGTTCAATTAAAGCTCATTTTTGATATATCTAGAATAAAGTAAGCAGATGTGGAAAATATTATTGCAAATTTTGTGTGCATTTCCAAAACAAGAATAGGCCTGAAAGCGGGAGTTTATCCAGGTTATGGGTTTCTAGCATTAGCTAGAGGCTAGAACAGAGGCAGGGAAAAGCTACAGTTATCTGGGATATTCTAGTACAGTGATGGCTAACCTTTTTGTCATCGCGTGCAAGGAGCGGGGGGCAGTCACGCGCATGCGTGCCCACACCCATAATTCTATGCCCCCGCCCCCGCACATGTGCGTGCGATGGCACACGATGGCACGATGGGCCTGGTAGGACCGTTTTTCTCTCTCCCCAGGCTCCAGAGCCTTTCTAGGAGCTTGGGGAGGGCAAAAATGGCCTTCCCCCCACACACCCAGAGGCCCTCCAGAGGCTGGAAATGACCCATTTGCCAACTTCCGGTCCCACCATCAGTTCGCCATCACAGTTCTAGTAGCTTTCAGAGGCGTCCAGATAATTGGATGACAGACCATACTTGTTAAATTGGGCTCTAGGAATCTTCAAGAGCCGTGGGGCACAGTGGTTAAAATGCAGTACTGCAGGCTAACTCACTGCTCACTCCAGCAGTTCAATCCTGAGTGGCTGAAGGTTAACTCAGCCTTCCATCCTTCCAAGGTCCATAAAATGAGGACCCAGATTGTTGGGGGCAATATGCTGACTCTGTAAACCGCTTAGAGAGGTCTGCAAAGCCCTGTGAGGCAGTGCTATTGTAAGTGCTATTGTTATTGATATTGTTCCTGTATAGTCTTCCTCTGCCTGAGTTCTTAGATTCCATGACCAGGTTGGTAGTGGAGTTGCCTAGCTTATGGTTTTAGGGGACTTTCACTTCTCTTCGCTTTGTGCAGAGCCGGGGGTAGCATAGGACAGTCACTATGGCAACCATAGACTTGATCCAGGGCCGATCATATAACAAATATTCTCACCAGATTTGGTTTTCATATCAGGGCAGTGGCAGTGTGATCTGGAGAGATTCTCATCGTTCCATGTACAGCTGGATCACTTTCTGATTGCCTCAGTGCTGCCTTCTGTCACAGGGAGACCTGTCTGATCATTTTGCCCCAGAATAATGGACACCCCACCCCACCCCCACTCAGTTACAAATGGTACTTGGGGTTGTTCCAGAAGGTCTGGCACACAATCTGATCAAAGTCTCAGTTGCTAGTAATGAGAGAGTGGCTAGCTGGCTCTGAATTGGATCTCACCAATGAGGCCTTTTCCTCCTCGGGTGTCCTACCATTTACTGAGGCACTGAGAGAGATGAAACATAAAAAGAGATACCTGGAGCATAGCTAGAAGACAACAAGGGGTGAATCTGACTCAGCATGTTGGCTTCTTGAGATATCTTTGTCAGATGTTTGGTCTGGGTTTATCCTTAATGACCATTGTAAGTTTTTATGCTTTCCAAATACATTATTGGTTTTTTTTAATGTTTTAATAGGTTGTTAGATAACCAGACTAGCATTTGCAAGATGGGCAGCCCTATAAACTGAGTCAGTAAATAAATCAGGCAGAAAACAATACTTTAATCAATGAATGCCCCCCTATTAAAAAACTGCAAGCTTCTATATATAGAACAGGGCAATATTCTCTATATATGCATATAAATGCCCAAGTAAATAACATCATGAGTACAAAGGAGTGTGGGAGATTGCTACCTACACACACACAAATACACACACACACATATATATACACACACAGGCAGCAACCTCCCACATTCCCTCATACTCATGATGTTACTTACCTGGGCAATAAAACATCTGCAAGTAAACAACCAAGCTCAGAGAGCATCAAGAACTTCACAGGTAAATAAATGCTATTTTAACCATAATTCTCTATTGGAAAACTCAGCTTATAGAATTTGTCTTAAACCATGTCTGTAATAATTAGCAAGCACAGTATACCACAGCTTCTAGAGACAAAACAAAGTAGTGGGAAATCCATTGTGCTCTGCATGCCATTTAGCATATCTAGTAGCAAAATCAGGGACAAAAGCTTTTTCTT